TCGAGCTTTACAATATCGAATTCGTTTTAGTAGAGAAAAGGCCATTCAAAATATAATTAATAGCAAAGAAAAATCGAAACAATATTATGATGCTAGTTCACGCGAAATTTCTTATAAAATTGGCGACTTAGTATATACAAAACATCATCACCGGCTCCGTAAGGCTCTATCACCTATATGGAAGGGCCCATATAAAATAATAAAAATAAATAATAAGCATAACGTAACGTTACAAATAGGTCGTAAACATGTTAAGTACCATACAAACGAAATTAAGCCTGCTATACAAACTCCTTAAATTTATTTACTTTGTATATTTTTTCAGAGCTTTATGCTATGGAAACCAAAGCCACGCTGAATCGAGGATCATATCTATATCACATAGTCCTAGAATTTATTTTGAACCTATTACGCATATTAATTTTTATAACGATTATTGGAACGTCATAACACATATAAACCTTATATCCTTAGATCCTTATCTCAATAAAATAGAAAATTTATTATATGATACTTTAAATCTTTGTTCTAAAATAAATACTGACGAATTTTCCCCGTGTAAAGATTTTTCTACTCCTATAGAGACTTTAATAAAATATAATTATGTCAAATTGCAATCTCTAGCACATTTAATCAATAATAACTCATCGCCAAACAAAGTCAAAAGATATCTAGAATTTGGAGGCGAAATTCTTAAATTTTTCTTTGGTACTCTAGACGCGGATGATGCGCGAAAATATGATACCGCGATAGAATCCTGTCGGAAAAGTGAAACGGAATTATTTAATTTATTCAGAGATAATATTCATATAATTAAATCCACTATAAATAATTTTAATGCCATTATTTATAAATTAAATCAAAACATTTTGAATTCCCAAATTTATAAAATGAATGAAATTTTGAATAACCGATAATTCCTAGGATAAATAATTTCTAACGTAATTGAAGGCTCCTTACTTGGTGTTTCTAACTTGCTAGACACAACTATAAACGATATTTTATTTTCAAAGGTAAATATTTTGCATCCTAGCGTGATTAGCCCTTTAAGTCTTTATAATGAATTAACCAAGAATATTAATCAAATAAACAAACGTTTAGATTTTCCAATGCAATTGAACATACATAATATTCATTCTTTGATTGACGTCTCGAAACTTAGTTCATATTATTAGAACAATAAGATTGTTTTCAGTTTGCAAATTCAACTGATAACGCCTGATAAATTCACTGTTTATAAAAATATCCCATTACCTACTCCTCACGACGAGTCGCATAATATGCAAACTTTTGCACTTATTCAACCTTCTAATTCTTATATTACTTTAAGTGACGATAGAATACATTATACTATGTTTAATAACTTAGATGATTGTAATTTCATTAACTATTCTATTTGTGAACTATTAACTATAACGTCTAGTGTAAATAATCCAAATTGTGAATCGAAATTACTAACAGAAGTTACTCTTACCTTACCTTCTGAGTGTAACGCCAAGTTATTATTTGGCCAAATCAATATTTGGCATAAAGTAAAAAATAATAGATGGATTTATGTACAATCTAATGTAAATAAATTAACCATCAAATGTGATGACGACATTACTGATCATTCTATTATTGGTATTATACCTGTGGTATTGTCAAATTAACCGAAAATTGTATCGGTTATTCCAAAACTATTCAATTACTGCCAACAAGTACTTACCAATTTTCGATCAAATCAACCATAGATATAAGTTTTGATATAACGAAAGATGATTGTTGCAAAAAAGGACATATTTAATAAAAGTTTACCACATTTAACGTCAATCTCTTTAAGCAAAGTTAATTTGGATTCTTTAAAATATGCAAATCATCAAATGGATAGTTTAGAATTTGAATTAAATAATCTTCAAAAAAGAATCACATTTTATTAAATATGGCTCATACTATTCAACATTTACTTATGTTTTAATTGTACTACTATTTTTATACCTTGCCTATAAATTATTTAAATGCTGCAGAAATCGTCACGATAACAGTGGATATTGTATACAAATATTTAATCAATGTAATAATAAAAAGTCATCGAGACAATTCTAAAATTTCAAATTCAATTGAGATGACCGATAAATCGACAAGTGAAGGAGATAATATCTCGTTAAAATCTTTACCAAATTGTACTAATTATAAGCCTTATAAAACTGTACACAGGGTTCACTCTTCCTCTCGAAGAAATCTTAATTTCTAATTTTATTCAATTTTAGTTTTAAAATTTTTGTATTAACACAAATAATCTATTTTATTATCATACAATAATTTAATTTCTACTCTGTCATTTTATATTTTGTATTTGCTATATTTTTCTATTTTCAATGCAATCTATGTAATTGTAATTGAAATTACTAACTTGTTTAATACAAGTTAATTTCTAATTTTACTATTTCGTTCAAAATACTTTTAATTTTAGGTTTTACTAATTCATTTTTGTATAATTTTATTACTTAGTTTTAAATTGATTATTTCTTGAATTTTACTTTGTCTCTTTTGTATAACTTAGATAGTTAACGAATAATACTATTGTATTTTTATTAAGAATTTAATAGTTCGAAAGTTTTATATTGTTATGAGATTGATTTGCAATATTTTACTACAATTTTAATTTCCTATTTTCATAATTTGTAATGCCTTCCGACCTCTAATCGCTTTTCTATTTCGAATCTTCGCTTTATCTTAATTTAGAAAAAGCTCAGTCAAAAGAGGGGAGCTGTTATATCCCTTTTAACAAGGCAATAAAACATTAGTAACCATTTATTTAATCACACAGTACTTTTCCTTAACATAGCTATAGTCAGCAATTATATTGTTATATTGTTCCTTTCCATGTTCATTTTAATTCCATTTTTAATGATCAGTTAGACTCAGAGCCCCGGGTAGATCGGACATAGATTCCGAGACGTATTAGAGTTCGGAAGTCAAGGACTTTATTAATTTGGTGTGTGAACTTTTGCAATAAACCTTTAGGTTTATTCTAAAAAGTCAAACGGGATCGGCCTCCTAACAGTTCGAAGAACCGACAACCGATGGGGGGAAAAGGTTCTCGAGTGTTAGGTTCGTACCGGTAGGCATAGTGTAGGGTGACACTCTTCTAGATGGAATGACGACCTGGTAAGACATGCAAGAAGTGAATGAATGCAGGTGGCTCAGGACCGTGCTTTGTGGCATACCTTGGGGAGGTTTATGTTCAGCAGTGGACTTGTGAATGGCTGTAATGATGATGATGATGATAATGAAATCTTGGCATAGGCTGAGATTTAACATCGATTTTATTTCTGCCTCTGTGAAATTACTTGAGAATTCATTTTCTTCTAAAACCTCGCAAAATTGGGCAGTTCGGTGTTCAGCACAAATTTTGCAATTTTCTGTGACATATATTTTAGTAGTTTGCAAAATTCTATTTCTTAAAAAATCTGGCACATTGAGCCTTTCTGGGTTCGTACAAAATGGACAAAAACAATGCCTACAAGGATTTGGTGTAAGCTTATAATCATCTATCAGGCTTATCGAAGGTTTTCGTGTGTCAAGCTGCACTGCCCTGCCTTCAGCAATTCGCACTATTCGTATTGTGCCTGTGCCCAGCAATCATCACATAAGAGGACATGTTCTGGTAACTGAAACAGAAAATATTTAAGTAAAGCCAATTTGTCTTTAACAACATATTTAAAAATAAAACTATATAAATATATAGACCAGATAGCCTTAGTGAGTTAATAATAGGTCCTTACATATGAAATTGGCATTTGGTACGGGAAGAATATAAGGGCATTTTCTTTTGTAAAATATATTTAGTTAATCAAAGTATACACCTTTGTTATCTATGCACTTTTGCCATCTCATAGGTAGTTCATTGACCCCTTTACTAACAAAAACCATGGGGGCGAGAATCGAAAAACTCTTTGAAGGCGGTTCGGACTGCCGCATCGGAGTTGAATTTTTTTCCTTGTAAGAAGTTGTCCAAATTCCGGTAAAAATGGTAATCTGTTAGAGCAAGGTCCGGGGAGTATGGTGGATGTCGTAGATATTCCAATTGTAGTGGTTGTTTTGTTGTGCAATGTGTGGTCTTGCGTTGTCGTGAAGCAGCAGTCGCCTTCGTCGCGACAATAGATATCTGCCCTAATCGTTTGGCCAGATTTTAAAAAGCTGTAGTGAACGATACCGGCGCTTGTCCACCAAACACTAACAAGTAACTTTTTCTGATGATGATGGCCTTCATCGTGTAAAATTCGGACATGTTTTGAAATAAACACATTTTACACTACACACAGTCAGCTTCATAATGTTGATATGAAGGTTCTGGATTTTACTGCCCTTCCTCAATAATATACGTTTTCTACCCTGAAGGGAGAAAAACTACTATTTCGGGACCTGCCAAAAGCTTGACCTTACGGGGATTACCCACCGTTATACTTCCATGTGTACTTGCAAAATTTACCACTAGAGGGCTCCAAAGGTGCTTCGTCCCCTACTTACTATAAACAGTTATTAACGTATTTATTTCTTTGAAAAAAAAAATGAACTTATCGTGAGATCATAAATGAACAAATTTATTATTCTAATATTTTAGCTTATACTGGTTTAAATGAAATAAATAAAATTTTTTTGATGATGTCCTTGGTTTTTTTACAAACTTATAATAACACTTAAAGAAATGATTAGGACCGCTCCAGTTTCCTCGCTTCATAATTTATTCTGAATCAACAATCTTGTCAATGTATATACGACGCTACTGCTAACCTCACTGAGCTTGGACTAACCTTAACCTTCAAGGCAACGAAGATGATTTTAACCATCCAGCAATTATCGCCCTTGAAGCCCCATTTCTTGAAGATTACTTTTGTCAGGCTGGGCTTCAGGTGCCAATCTGTTAAAGGTAAATCTCCTGCAAATATAATATATATATATACCATAATCTGGATGCTGGATAATCTGTCTGCTAGCTAATTGTATTGGTCTGGCAGTTAAAAAGGGATTAGTTGAATCTGGAAACGATGCGTTATTAAAAGTAGTTGTTTGTATAGAGCATGGAGTCCTTGAAACCGAGTTCCTCTTTGTTTGCGAATATTAGCCACCGCTAGCTTGTCCGATGGTACCAACACTGCTTTGTTTTTCAATCTGTACTTGAATTTTTTTATTGCAATCAAGACCGTGAATAGTTCGTTGCGGTTCACATGCCATTTCTTTTGTTCTGGATCCCAAAGACCTGCTACTGTGACACTCTCCAGATGGAAACCCCACCCCAGTCCTGATGCATCCGTTGTCAAGAAGATGTCTGGATTGTTTAAAAATATCGGATTGGTGCAGTTGATATTCTCCTGCCACCATCCACAATCCTCCAGTGCCTCTGGCGTTATCTTCATGATTTTCTTTGACTTTTCTTCTGACAAGTTCCTGAATGCTCTCTGAAGTCTCTGAAGGCGCAAAAATAAACGACCCATTGGAGTGACCAGGGCTGCAAAGTTAAACTGGCCTTTCAGAGACGCAACAATTGTCCAATTCCATGTTCCCGAAGCCCTTAATCGACCGATTATCTCCAGAATGCAATTCTTTTTCTTGTCTCCAGCACCATCACATTCTGTTCTGTATTCCAACTGAAACCCATAAATTCCAGTGCTTTCTTTAGTTCTGGTATCGATTTTTTCAGATTTATTACTCAACCAGGCAATTTATTACTTTGAAGGTAATAAATTGCCTTGTTGATTTGTTCTTGCAAAACATTCTTGACCTGGTGCGCAAACAGAAAGTCATCCAAATAAGCCAATACTCTTATCCTCAACTGATGAGAGAAACTGACTATCCAGTTCATTATCTTGGAAAATTCCAACGGAGCAGTGGCCAGACCGAATGGAAGGCAAGCGAAGTGGTAAACTCGACATTTGTATGATAGATACAAGACTTAGAAAGAATTACAAACTTAGAAATTTATATGATATAGACTTAGTTGAATGTCGAAATACGCCTGAGACAAGTCCACCTTGACGCTGAAATCACACCTGTAAGAATTGCGCAACCTGTGATTGGTTGATCATATGTAATATCTTTGGATTCAGAAACTGATTTAACTGATGTAATTTGAAAATCTGGCAAAAGCTACCATCTGACTTCGGCCTTCCTTTTTTTCTAGGATTCCTATCTCCAATAGTTTTTGCAACTCTTCTGACATCTGACGGGATATTTTTGTCTTGAATTTCTCTCTATTCTTTTTGGAAAAAAGAACTGTAGTCCTTATTTTTATAAATTGTATTGAATACCCATAATTGTTTTTAAAATATGAACTGAGGCACCCAGCTTGCGCCATTGGGGTATATAAAACTTTGGCTGGTCCGCTCGAAACTTGCAGTCATGGCCTATTCGTCTTCCGGTCTTTTATACCGGAGTTTTGTAGCCATTTCTTGTTTTCTTGTCGTTATGCTTACGAAAGGAAGCACGAGATGATGTCTGCAGTTTTATTTACTGATAGGAAGAATTACCTGAAGTATTCATGATCTAAGAAGGATTATCTTCTGTTCCATAAGTAAACTTCTTCTTAGGCGGTCTTTGACTTTGCGGAAAAACTTTACTCAGGCCACCTCGCTGATCGAGAAATTTTGGAGACTAGATCTTCATCGAATCATCGATCTAAATCAGCCTCTGTCGGAGGAATTTCTGCCAGCTTCACCAAGTGGTACTGTTCCCTTGGTTTGAAGGTTTTTCTTCGCATTTCAATGATCTCCGCCCTTCTGACACATGTGAACTGAAATAAATCATCCGAAACCTCTTTGACCTCGGATTCTTAAAGAAACACTTTCTTGATGTCCTCATAAGCTCCCGAGTGTTATGTGGACAAAGATTTTATTCCCTCTATCAGTTTCTGTTGTTGCTGTGTTTCAATAAGCCATGAGTTAAAGTTCCCATTAACTCATCCGCTAGCTCCAAAAGTATTTGTAAGATTTTGAAACTAAGCCTTCCAACTGCGTATTAACCTTCAGCGAGTCGAAAACTAGTGACGTAAGAAGCTTCTTCTGGACCTCCTTGTATCTGATCCTGTTCCAGCCCAAAGAACCAAACTTCTGGCAGGAAATTCCTTGCGCCTTGATTTCTGGTACTGAGGGATATAAGGCTGCTTTTTTCACCTGAGGTGCAAACGACAGTGTCTCAACGTCATTCACCGGTTCCTTTACTAAGTCTTCCATCACAGGCGGAGTTCAGTCTTCTGCTCCTGCTGAACGGGAGTCACCACCAGAGCACTCTGACTATCTGACTGATCCCCGTCTTTACTTGATTCTCCTACTCCTTTTTCTTACTCTGCTGCTCAATCTTCAGAATTTTACTCAAGACGATTTCAAACATATGTTTTATCTCTTCTTGCAATACAGCTACTTTGGATCTCTTTGCCACAGGACTCTTACTACCCAAATTGATACTCGGTCTTTTTAAGCCCAGAAATTCATTTTCTATGTCCGATTCTGGATTTGAATCTTGAGGCTTGGGCTTTTCTACCGCTTCCTTGAGATACAGCGGCTTAACCGATTCAATCATACGCAGAAAAATCTCGGACTGCCCAACCGAACCCTTAAGTTTATTGACTAAGCTCGGAGGGCTTATGATGAGTGCCCTACAAAAGAGCCAGTTCAATATAGCTGTAGCATTATAGGTCACGTATCACGATATGATACGATGTTTCTCTGGTAAATCCACAGCCAGTGAATTAAAAACTTGAGCCAAACCTAATGCTGGCAAGGCAAAACACAGTTTATTCAATATCTGTGGGTCCACGTTCAGCTCATTCCCAAACAGAGCTCTTTGGGAAAGATCCAACAGTTTAATCCGGTCTAAGATTCTGTCATCCACTGCCGTGTCCGCCGATATCTCCAATAATTCGTCCATTGTTATCCAGGTTGGTTGTCCACCTATCTGTAACATTCCAGAACTCCATTAAAAGATGTCCTCTACCCAAATTTGAGTAGTTTGTTCGAGATAGAATGATAGAATAGAAATGTGAATATGTGTGTTACATAAATGAATAAAGCGTCCTAGCATAAACTGAAACATAAAACATTATCGTTCCTACCTTTTCCTTAATAGTCTGACACCAATTTTTGTCACAATTAATTAAACACTTTTTCGAACGTTACACAACGTTATGAACATGTACACACTACTCAGAAAACGACAGCGTACTGCGAAATGTGACCGCGAGCCGATAATAACCTTCAAGGGCGCTGTAAGATGTAAGGGGGATAAAGCTCTAGTGGTAAATTTGGCAAGTATACAGGAAAGAATGAAGGTTGGTAATCTTTGAAAAGAATATTTTAAAAAATTAATTATATATAAATGCACATTACAGCATTAATTATTATGTATTTTAATTTCAAACATAGGTTTAATCGGAGGTGACCTAATTTTAATATTGTTAAGAGTTTAGGGTTCGTGACAATAAAAACTGCCCATTGAATTACCAAAATTTACACTTTTATTACTGAACACCAATTAAAACTTAAATAATTATCACGCACTTTATTTCACTCCGAAGCTTCGCTTGTATCGCCAAATTCAATACTGCCCCGATCGCGGCTATCAACGGCTTTATGAGCTATATACAAAGCAGTTGATAGAAACATCCAGAATATTCCAGCAAATACGGGCGCCGACCGACAAGACGCAGAAAGTTCGAGACTGGACCCTTCTAAAAAGCTTAATTCTTCTGTTCGATACAAGATGGCGCTGTTGGTGGAAAGATTAAGATTGGCATTTTCTAGGAAGCTCGCTCTGTTCCCCGACACTAGATGGCGCTAGTGTCAGGTACCAGATATCAACTTAGGCGCGCAACAATATAATATGATGGTAGGCCATACGAGTACGCTGCGCTTTACACCCATTTTCTGTCGTGTCACAGGCGATTAATGTTATTTTAGTGTATTAGTTTCTCTGTGAAACCAATAATGAATAAATATGTTTTTTTACTTCTTTCTTCCTTCATTATTTTTATAATATTATGTTTGTAAATTGTCTTTATTAAGGCCCCAGTCTTGTAAAAATTAGTGTTCCCGCAAAACTTACAGCAAAACAAATATTCTTTTACAGTATTTAAAAAAGGAAAAGTGAAACATATTTTATATTTATTGAATGTGTAGGATTTGATATTTTCGAAACTGTTTTTTAATATTTTTTTTGGTGTTTAAATTAATAGCTCTATTAGGCGTTAAACATGCCTAGGCGTTACATGCGTAAAAGGTCTTATTAAAGCCTCTGCTATGTACAAACTATAACAATATCAAAAAAGTATTCAGATCACATTTATTTACATATTGTCTACAATAATCTGATCTGGCCACTTTTTTTATAAATGCTTTAATTTTATTATTTGAAGGGCTTAAAAAGTTGTAATTTCATTATTTTGTCTACTGCAAATATCAATTTTTTTCTATTAGAAGTATAAATGTAGCAAAGTCGCACTTAAAACCACATAAAATAGAACTATTTTCAAGTGAATTATAAATAAATAAAATTAAAAATATATATATATTCGTATTTTTTACCTATATTCAATTTATAAACCAGAAACGCCTGAAAATTCTCTCAGTTCCGCTGGGATTTCTCGGCGTTCAGACGTGTGCAGTGTTGCTCAACATTACTTTACCTCTCGCTCGCACGGTTGATCTCTTTCCATCGTGCAGCTCTTATGGACTGAGCGGAGCATATCGTGAAAGTTGCTCTATTTAAATATATATTTTTATTTAATTGTCATATTAGTCACTTAACATCAGGTGAGCCGCATGCTCGTTTGCCCCCTCTTCTATAAAAAAAGTTCTAGTTTTTAGTGTATTAATGTTTATATTATTATAAGATTAATTGACTTGGACTTTTATATTTGGAGAATGTCAATTTATTACCAAAAAAAAAAATAAACGGAGAAAGATGTGTAGAAAAAAGGAGAAATATCCTTGTGTCAGTAAAAATAGTAATAAAAGTAGTAGTAAAGCAAAAAATGTACAAGGTAGAGGCGAAATTTGTATGAAGAGGCAGTTTTTATTTTCCTTCGGTTGTATATACCCTTTTTAAACCTACAACCCGTATAAACATTACTAAAAACGACATTTATGAAATATAAAAGGGTAAAAAATTATACTACCACGACAAAAGTAAAAGGAATAATTTTTGTAAAAAAAATTAATAAGTTATATTATATTTTATGAAGTAGAGCAACCTTCACCTGCGATCTCGAACGTATTTATGCAGGGGGGAGAGCGTTCCCTCTAATGGCTGGGAATGTAAAACAGCAAAGCTAGACGGGAGCCTTAATATTATAAATGCGAATATGTGTTTATTTTTTTGTCATTGTAGCATGAATAGTTTGCCTTGACTGAGGAAGGATCGCGCACTCACATAATACCAGAGGTATAGAATATATACTGGTAGTAAAAATGACTCCACGGTTTCGTAAGCATACCAAGTAGGATTGTATATTTCTTCGGCACCTAAAATAAAATAAAAACATCGAAAATTAGAGCGAGATAGTTGCGGAATAATCGAGAAACTAACCAACGCTTTTAAACATAAGTTACACCTTGCAAAGCAGACTATCAAAATAATTATAAATGTATCGTAGGAACATACCTGCGCCAGAACGCATAGATTCACGTTTTTTTTTCAAGTGCTTGCGAAAAGTAGTCATCAATATCTCCTTTTTATTTTTTATTTCCTTTACTGGTCTTCCAGTAAGTTCAGCAAGACGAATCCATGCATCTGCTTGTTTCTTCTTATCTTTATGATTTGCATCTTTCGGATTCCAGATGCATGGTTCCATTTGGTAATGTTCCAGAAACGAAAGACTCTCCTCATTCAACCAGCAACTCATTTTTTATTTATTTTTTGTAAAATCAAGCAAGCGTGTACTCGCCGCGAGATCACAATGGCTACTAAACGCGGACCAACATGTAAATGCATCGCTAGCGCTTTCCGCAAACGCCCTTTGATCTGCGTATAAAAACCGACACTCGACTGGATCGGAAGCAAGCAGGCACAAGCCCACGCAAGCCAAGCCAAACGCCCTTTTTACATGCTTGCGATTGTCGATCCTTGCCAAGGCTTGGCAAGCGTGTAAACGTACCATAACGGGTGACAACGCACCTGCATTTTAATTCGTAATCAATGATAGATGTTCCTAGATGTCTACGGGCCACAGAAACTGAATGTGCGCTCGTTTGTCACCCTTACCCTAAAAACCTTTTTTTTATAGCTATAGTATGGTTTTAGCACAAATGGGCTGACTCGCTCACGGCCGAGACACGGAGGTGAAACACCGCCAACTTCCTAACTCTGGGCTGCTACTGAGAATTTCTTGGCAGAAAAACCCAATTACTGACTTTGACCCGACCCGGGATTCGAACCCGTGAACATATGATCAGCAATCGCTTTTACGAGATCACTAAGTGTTACTATAGTATATATTGTTAAAGAATACATGAATGAAAATAATGGCTCGGCTCGACCGGGCAATGACCACGCTCTCACAGAATACCAGCGTCAAAGCTGTTGTGTTTCGTATACTGAGTGTAGAGAACCGGAGACCCTTTTCAATGAAAACGAGACTTTCCATCATGGTCGTGAGAAGGTCAAAAAGTTCGAGGATTGGCAGAGTTGGCGTGAGCGAGTTAACTCACCCATGTAGGCTCTGGTTGAGTAACTCATTGTTAGTACATATAACAAGTTTCAGCCTAATCGGGTCATTTTCATTTGAGTTACGAGGGCGGCACTGAAAATTTCGGGAGTCAAGCAAGTGACACAACATTACTATTTAAAAATGTATTATTTATTGCTTTTCGAAGTATTCTCCGCGAAATTTGACACATTTTTCCATACGATGGAACCAATCATTGAAGCAACCATTCCATTCGGAAGTTGGGGTCTCCAAAATGGCCGTTTTGTAGGCGTCCACAGCTTCTTCAGGTGATGAAAATCTCTGTCCACGCAATTTATTCTATATTTTAGGGAAAGTATAGAAATTATTAGGGCTTAGGTCGGGCCTGTACGGCGGATGGTCTAGTAATTCTATGTTTTCTTGCTCTAAAAACTCTTTTGGGGGGGAGATGGAGGATGATGCGGCGGTTGCAGTTCTCTTTACGGAGTTCAGAAACGACCTGTGTCAAACTAATGCTAGCATACCATTCTGCATTAACCGTTCTTTGTCCCTCAAGAGGAATAGTCGTAACATGGCCGATTTTAGAGAGAAACGTGGCCACCATTTTTTTTGCAACACTCCGTGAACGAACAATTTTTGTTGGCTTTAACTCATTTTCGAACACCCAAACTCGTGAATGGTTTTTTGTTTCGGGTTCGTACGCGTATATCCAGGATTAGTCACCTGATACGATGTTGTATACAGCATTTGAGGATCCTGCGTGGAATCTTTCGAGAGTTTTGACGCACAAAGTAACGCGAGCCGCTTTTTGCTCTTCACAGAGGTACAGAGTTTACAGGTATCCATCGGGAAAACAACTTTTTTACATCTAATTGTTCATGCTAAATTATTTGTATTTGACTCATGCCAATTTCTAAAGTTACCTGAATTTCTCAGTATGTCACATGTCGATCTTCCTCAATCAGCTTACGCACAGCATCAACGTTCTCTTGGGTGACTGCAGTTTTTGGACGACCTTGACGGGGATCATCACTGAGCTTGATACGTCCACGTTGAAATTCAGGAAACTAGCGATAAATTTTGGATGGGGCTTCATCACCAAATGCAGAAATCGTTCGGTCAACACACTGTTTTTGTGTTAAACCACTTCGAAAGTCATAATAAATCATCGCTCTTGAATTTTCTCGAGTCAATTCCATTTTCTCAACGACTAAACAAGTTTGACAAAACCTTATGACAAGACCGAGAATCTTTTTTTATATAAATAAATGGTATTCGATTTTTAAAACCAAGGAGTTTTCAATTAAAAAAAATTTAATATGACAGGAACAGTGGAAATATTCCATTCCCGATACTTTTAGTGCAGCATATGTATCAACGAGTAAATAAGTCAATCGGGAAGAAACTAGCCACTATGGAGAAAATTGAATATCGCGCCATCATTAAGTTTCTCACCAACACCAAACAAGGAAAGACAGCAATCTAAAAGTAAAAACCTAAATTATTTCATGATGCAAGTCACTTGTCAGACATGATATTAAACATATAATTTTATGACGAGCGCGAAGGGCGCCATCTTGTAAAATCATCAAAAATTGGGATTGCATTTTCATTTTTAGTACGTCAGTTTATTATTTTATTTATAATAAAATCCCTGATTTTTTCGCTTTATTACGGTATATTGTATATAGACTGGCTTTGAAAATGACCGTCTCCTTTATTAAATATCATTTGAAGGTCTCACTTTTACCGCGTGTGAACTGCACACATTTTTTTATTTAACTAGAACTTATTGGAAAAGTTACATATTATAGTGCTACAGCAACGAGTTACAGATATTGGTGATTTATTTATCTCTAAAAGATATACTACATATAGCAATCACGTGGGACCACGGGATTATATAAAATGACAATTGGATTGATGTGAATTAAAAGCAGTTTTTGTATCAGTTTGCTAATTATTATAAATATAAAATTATATAAATATAATAGATATTAAATTTGAACAAGAAAAAAGATAACAAGATTAATAAAAAAATATCATGCAATAGCCATCTCAATCACTTGACCTTTCTCCTATTCAACTTGTTTGGGATGAACTCGACATGGTGAAAAAAACTCAAAGGGTGAAAAATCGATCTCCAACAAGCTTAGAACATTTGTGGCAATTATTGGAGACCAAATGGATTGAATTAGATAAAAATTATTTTTAGAAATTATTTAATAGAATGCCTTAAATATGCCAAAGATGCCATCAGATAATAAAAGAAAAAAGTGAAGTATCGATGAAGCTAAAATTTAAATTAATTTTGTTATTGTATTGTTATAAATTATTCTCAAAATTATTTAAGGAAAAGGATATCTGTAGAATCTAGGAATCCTACCAAAAATCAGGTTATCTTTGGGGCGGATTCTTTAAGGATGCGCAATCTGCGCTAGGTTTTCGTATTATAATATATCTTTTCAAACATTGAGCTTGAATCCAAACAAAAAGTTGATTACTGAACGAGATGCTAATAATATTTACGTTTATTAATATGTATTTTAGTTTCAATAAAAAGGAAAATGATATTTAACATGTAAGGAAAAACTTTTCAGGCAGATGGCAATTTTATGTATTAACGAAGTTTAATAGTAATAGTATGAGAGAACGTTACTACGACATCAGAAAGTCGATGTGGTTGTCTTAAGTTCCCTCAATGGTCGACTCGTTTGGTCTGCCTACCACCACTCGGGATCGCTAGCCACGACTCGTCTCACTTTGGATCAGTGTCAGTTTTTCTGCACAGACCAAAGGCGCTCGTCTGTTCTCGGCAATTCGTGTACACATGTTAGATGACCGTTCAGTATGTTCACTCGTTCAAACTTGGCCAATATGTAGACCGTAATACTCCCCTTGTATCAATTTGTCTACGCTCGCATTGTCTGAGGCTTGGTCAACATATACTTGTCTGCTTTACAGGACACTTGGTGTGTAAGTGGACCAATCGTTACGGACGCTGTCTTTAGCTGATTAGTCATGCATTCATTATTGTTCACTTCATTAACGGCTTGCCGTTGTTTTATTATTTGTGTGGTTGTTGATGAACAGTCAGGTCCATGAAATTAGTTAAGAAATATTTGGCATAAGTGACATAAACATTCGCGGGCTTTCATTCAACAATTCACCAACTCAAAGGATGCATTGTATAGAAAAACGCATAGAGAACCAATTCAAAGTGTAGACAATATTTGTTAATTTCTTTCTCACGCCTGTAGAACGAGTCCTACTTGCAGCAGAAGACATCATCTTTCATTAGAATTTTCTGTGTTTATATTTACAAAAATAACATTGTAAATAAATATAGAACCTGGGCAAGTTTATTAATAAATACTTTAGAAAAAATTTGGTATTAACACACATCGCTATTATATAAATATGTGTCTAAACTTATAAAATAGCACTTACATACAAAAGGAGGTAATTTTTAAAAAGTTGTAGCACGAATGGGTCGGCTCGACAGGGGAAGGACCACATTCTCATGGAATACCAGCGTAAAATAGCAGCTTAAAGTTGCTGTTCAGACCCTTTTTACTGGAAACGAGTCATTACATCTTAGTCCTCACGGGTGAAAACGCATCTGCATTTTGATTCGTATTCGAGGATAGATGGACTGTGTGCTCGTTTGTCAACCTAATTTAATGAAAAAAGTACAGATTTTCTATTAGAGATGTGGTTGTGTCCTACATTATTTAATGCTAGCGGTGTGCACGGTATTTCCGCGTAATATGAAAATGGGTTGTGAGACAAGAGTGAATCGTACTGTATGTATATTTCCGGGTTTTTCTTTAAGTAGCTTAAAAGCAAACTTAATGTTCGTTATTGTGTTGAGTAAGATTCAAGTTTGGGTTAATTTTATAATACATTATGAAGAGTTTTGTACTTGAAAACGTTCGATACTTCTGACCGGTCTCGACGTGGCCTCATTAGTATGCCGCTACATGCTTCAGTAGCGATAACGTTTACTTGGTGAGATTTGGGCCGCTCCTTGTTGGCCACAGGCATTTTTTACCGGTATGGGATGATATATATTCACAACGAACACTTAATAATTATCAAGCGCACAAATCGATGTGAGCCGTTCCGGAGGGGGTTCAAGACGGGAAGGGGGCGATGAGTGCGCGGCACCGCGCAAGTCGCCGCCCGTATCGACCGCCCCGGATGTGCATTGCAAT